CTTGGCAAGGAAGCAACCAAACACCTACTATATGCCACTCACTGGGGATATACAAAGAAAAAAATGAAAGTTTCTGCTCTCTATAATAATTTTTAAAAGGGCTGGGAGAGAATATTACATAAATAAGTTAACATGAAATACACACAATATTAATACAGTGTTATTGTGTGTGTGTTGGGGGGGGGGTACTAGTAGCTGGAATGGTCAGGAAAATCCCCTAGAAGTAGCATTGGAGTTGAACTTTGAAGGAAACTAGGTATTCCAAGAGGTGGAAGAAGAGAGTGCATTCCAAGTTTTGAAGTGAGTCAGTTTGCTGTCAAAGCCAAAGGTATGGAGTTGAGAGATGTAGTAAGGAACAGCAAGTTTGAACAGAGCATGGATTATATAAAGAGGGGTTACATATACCAAATCTGGAAAAGTTCAAACTAGGTTGTGAAGGAATTTGTATTTGATCCTGAAATAACAGAGAACCACTGGAATTTATCAAGCAGTGGAATTACATGTGATTTAGGAAAATCAACTTGGCAGCTGAGTAGAATATGCTTAGGAAAGGAGAGAGACAAGGAAATCAAATGTTTGTTGGTTAAGTATGTTTCTGACCCCCTTTGGCCTCCTCATTGTGATGATTACTTCATATTGATTAAAATTTTACAAGTAGTGGTGATAAATTTTACCTGAAGTGGCTCCTTATACATATGAAAAAAAAGTCCTATTTTTTTTTTCATTTGTCATTTTTCGGCAGATGAATAGATCAGGATGAAACTGTTGCGATTTTATGCAGTATATTCTTTTCATCTTTTTTCTATCAAGACGATATCATCTTGTTCTAGTCAGTGGTCCCATACTTACAGATTTCCAGTTCTGAAATTATTTCCACACTAGCAACAAGCAACATTTTGTTCCATTACAATATAGTCAATTTCTTTTCTTTTCCTTGTGTGTGATGCTGTTAAATGATAAGCACTTTCTAATTTTTTTCTTAAGAAAAGTATTCATGTTATATAAGCATGAAACTTCTGAGAAGTCTATGAATTTTAGACCTCTTAGGATTCTTAGTCCTGAGCTTTATTTTCCAAAAACTGGCCCCCCTCGCTGCCTATTTTTCTGTGTCAACCTTTTCATTGAAATAATCAAATATCAAATCACATTCACTTGTTTTGTCAATTTTTTCATGAAATTTCTGTACTTAATTTTTCTATGCAACACATTTTGGTGTATATGCTGCTCTCTCCATTATGATGCTACAAGTGTGAAGAAAAATGAGATAACACAAATGGAATGTTTTGCAAACCTTAAATAAATATTACATGCTAATTATTATTCTTTAAACATTAACTTAGTATTAAAGTGGAGATCACACTGCTCAGGGAGTGAGTTTAAATAACTCTCCACTTTCCATTAGCAGCTCTATTTGGTTTGGACTTTAAGGAACAGCATAACCCCAGGCCAAGTATTCGCTGGTGACCCTCCCCCTCTTCAGCTTCCTTTTGTGTTAGGTCTTCTCTCATTACCTTGTAAGCCCCAAGGGCAAGGACTTTCCTTATTTGCCTCAGTGCCTGGCACACAGTAGGCACTTAGTAATTGTTAACTGAGTTGAACTGAAACTGAAAGTTTCCCAGGTAGGTACTTGTGAGCAAGTCACACCTTATTTGATCCTCCCCCCCCCCCAATCTTGTGAAGTAGGTGCTAGTATTAGACCTATTTTATAGGTAAGGAAATAGTTTGAAGGTTAAATGCCTTGCTCAGGGATTAAGTGTCTGAAAAACAGGATTCCAACCCCATGTCTTTTTGACCCTAAGTCCAAAATATGATTGGTTACAGAGTTAGAAGCCCTGGAATTGAATCCTGGCTCCAATATTTATTAGCTATTATAATCCTGAGGAAGGCACTTGATGTTGCTGAGCCTCAGTTTCCTGGTTTATAAAATGTTGATATTTTTACTTCATAACTCATAGTGAATTATCAGAGATAAAATGGTGATGCAGTGTGCTATACTTGGAGTGGGTCAAGCAAAATCTGTTTTCAAATCTTGTCTCTGGCAACACTTATTACCTGTGCGACCTCAGGCAATTAAATTAACCTTCCTAGGCTTCAATTTCCTAATCTGTAAAGAAGGGATAATAATGGCACCCATCGGGTGTATTGTGAGGCTCAAGGAAGATAATGCCTGTAAATTGCCTTGTCAGTTTTAAAACACAATGTAAATGTCAGCTACTGCATTACATAGTGTTTTTAGCTTTATAAAGTGCTTTTCCTACAACAAAACTAGGAGGTAGGTGCTATTACTATTCCTAAACTGAGGTTGAGAGATCAAGTGACTAAGATGGGAATCCAGCCATGATACCAACTATCTGTGCCACCCTGGGCAAATCACTTAACTGGCATTATATAGTGCTTTAAAGTCTGCAAGGTGACATAGGCTTATACAGATTGCCCATGTAGCTTATGTATATCCACATGGGTCTGTTGAGATGTAGCTTGCAGAGAGGCAAGAGTATATATTTACTATTAGATATCTCTTCCCACTACCCTTCTCTAACGGAGACTTTGATTCTTGCTGGCAGGAGTTGAAAAGGTTTGGGACAGAGGTTGGTCACTTTGCTCTTCTTAGAGAGGGGCACTAGAATTGATTTTATCTGCTTCCTTAATTATTGTTAGCAGAGGAAAATAATTTTTATGTTCAAGCTATGTTTTGGATCCCTATGCTTTAATGGGGAAGGAGTGCCCCATATCATACCTCCAAGGCTTGATTCCTTTCCCATTCAATGCCAATGCCACAAGAACATGTACATATAGCAAATATATCCCTTTATCCAAGTCAATAGCAAAATGGAAATCAGACAAAGTATACCTATGAAAATATATACAATACAGAGTGAATTGGCTCTCCTATTTGGAGCGAGATAACTCAGCTCAAAGAAGAGAGTAAGTCTCAGACTAAATGCACCAGAAGTCTCTACTGAAGCAAGGTGGAGGGTTTGGGGGGAAGGAAGGAGTTAGGAACACGATAGAAAATGCCTGCTTCTCTACATGTTGGCTTCTTCCTAGTCTTTCTTTCCCTTTAGGTACCTAAAGAGAGGCTGGAACTATGTGACTTCTCTCTGGAAAGTGGAAGTCAGAAGAAAAGGATCTCTCTTCTCTCCAGATCTCACAAACTTGCCCCTCATGTACACAACAGGGCATTTAGCAATCATTCTGCAAGAATGATGATAGTCCTATGCAAATAGTCCTTTGATACAAGCAGGCATGTTTTGTGGACATTGTATCATTTGAGCCCCAAACAACTATAAAACATATATATTTATCCTCTATGAGACCTTTTCCTCATCTGCAAAATGCTGATAATACTTGCGGATAGGCAGCATGATATACAGTGGGCAGAATGCTGGTCTCAGGAAGGTCTGGATTTGAATCCTGCCACTAAGACAGCTTGTGTCTGTGACCATGGACAAGTCACTTAACTTTGAAGTCCCCCAGAAAACTCTAAAACTGTAAGTTGAAGACAAGTTGCCAACTCCTGGTGGGGTAGTTTCCATTCCAAGATTCCCCAAAGGGATAGAATTACAGGTCAGGGCCAAAAAATTTTGCCTTGCTGGAGTTGTTTAGAAGCAAGTACTTAGTAATCTTTGAAGCATTATTATGAGAGTTATTACTAGGTCCAATTGGGATAATTATATGACTTCAACATTTTGGGCCCTGAACCAGGAACAGATAAAGAAACGCTGGGGGTGACACAGTATTGTACACAACAGATGATGGAGGAGGCGAGAGCTAATAATAGTCAAGGAGTGGGGCTTCAGAGATGCTTTAAGCATGAAGTAAGCAGGTCAAAAGGGGGCTCGATGGGTTAGGATAGGGAGTGGTAGAGACCACACAGAGGTCACCACGAAGGGAAAGGGCAGGTTTACTAAAGTGACCTAGGAGAAGAGGTGGAAGGGACCAACGTGTGGGTAAGAGAAAGAGGGGGGCGGGGGTGTGCTTCCCTTCGGAGCCCCTGCATTTGTAGATTTGCTACGGTTTACTCCCATTTCACCGACGCCCCCCAGAACAGAGCCTTGTTTAACGCGGGTGGCTCGCTCTCGGTGCGGGGACAAAGCTGGCCCGGCGCTCGGTCTCCGCAGCCTGGCCCGCCAACCACCTCTCCACTAACTAGCCTCTGCTGCCTCCTTATGCAGGAGCGCGCGCCGCAGACTGCATCTGCTCCCGAAAAAGCCAGACGCCTCCGGGCGCTCCCGGACGTGCCAGCCTCGCCCTCACTTTTACCCTTTCTTCCCCGGGGCTCTTTCACCCACACAAGCCTCAGAGGCGGGGGCGGAGGGAGGGATCTGGGGGCCTTGGGGCTGCAAACTGGGCGCAGGGACGAGAGGAGGGAAGCTGGGGCGGGACCCCCTTGTCCCGCTTCACCCCATTTCTGCTTTTTTCCTTCTGCAGCTCAGACGGGGGTGGGGGCGAGAGAGGCGGAGCCCCGCTCCGGGCCCTCCGGCCAGCTAGCAAAGGAGGAGCCCGGCGGCTGGGGAGGGCGGGGGAAAGGAGCCCCCTCGCTGCAGAACGAGAAATCTCCGAAAATGGCCGGCCACATTTTATGAGCGCGGCGACGTCACGACGCCGGGGCCTCCTCCCTCTGCCCTATTCCCCCCTTTCCCCATCCGCTCCACGAATTGTCAATAACGTCCTTAACTTGTAGTTAGGGATTCGGTGCCAGGAGGGGGTGGGAGGGATTGGTTGGGAGAGTCGACGGGCCCCAAGGTGGGGAGGGGGGAGGAAGGGCGGGAAGAAGAACCTCCGTGTTTGGTTGCTTTTCCCGCCGTGACGGGGCGCATGTGCATTGTTAACGTAGGAGACACGTAAGCGCTCGTGTCACTGCCTCCCCCCTCCCCATTCCCGACTCGCGCTCTGGGCCCCCCCTCCGCCCGCCCACCCCTTCCTCGGCCGTACCCGGCAGTGAGGCTGTGGCGCGGGTGGCCAGCAGAGGGCGGTCGGGCCTCGGGTCTGCAGCGGCGCCATTGGCGTGTGGAAAATGCCACCAGATGGCGGGTTAGGATTGCAGCTCCGCTGAAGGCGCGGCCCCAGCTCTCGAACCCCCGGCGACCACCCCGCTAAAACCCCCCCACATCGGGAATAACACACCGGAGACTTTTAGGGGAAAACCGGGTCGGTGGCCGGCGGCGCCGGGATGGGCAGCCGAGGTGAGAGCGGGCGGCGGCGGCGGCTGCGGGGGGCGGGAAAGAGGGGGAATGCGGCGGCGGCGGCAGCAGCGGCGGCTGGAAGCGCCGATCCAAGATGGAGGCCGGGAGCAGAGCGAGCGAACGAGCGAGAGCGGGGGAGCGGGCGGGGGAGGGGAGACCGCGGTGGGGCCTGTACGGGTGGCGGCATGACAGGGGGAGGGGGAGCGGCGGGGGGGCGCCCGAGGAGTTCTCCGGTGGACGCGGCGGGGACCCCGGAAACATGGGCTCCCTGGTCTCCCTCCGCCGCCGTGAATGTTTCTTGTGTCGCGCTGCCCCCCGGCCCGACCGGGGGCTGGAGCGGGACCGGAGCCCAAAGCCTTTGTGAGTGGCCCGGGCCCGCCGCCAGAACCCGGCCGCGGTCTGCGCCGGTCCGCGCCTCTCCCCGCCCCGGGCCCTCGGGACGCAGCTCGCTGGCCGCGGAGCTCGAGTTGTGTCGGGGGGCGGGCGCGGGCGCGGGCAGGCTGCGTTTCTGCGGTGCTTTCACCGCCGCCGCTGCGGCGTCACATGACCCCCTCTCGCGGCGGCCAGGGGGCCTGGGGGTCGTCCAGCCTCTGCAGTCCGCCGCGTCCGAGGCCTCTTGTTATGTGGGGTGGGGTAGGGCAGGGTCGGGCTTCGCCTGGGCGGAAATTGGGGATATGTGCTCGTGTGTCCGTGTGTGTGCCCGCGTGTGTGTGTGTGTGTGTGTGCGCGCGCGCGCGTGTGCAGGAAGGGGAATGGGGGGGCTTGGGGTGTTTGGCGGGAGGAAGGGGGGACCTTCCAAACCGCTCTTTGCCGCTATCTTTTTTCCCCATCCCTAAAAGTGGTCCCGTTGCAAAAACGTGCCCGGACCCTGGGTGCTGCCCCGGCTTGTTTTACAACCCACCTGGAGGCGAAATAGATAAAAGTTGTTTTCCCTCCATAATCTGGGGGTGAGGAGAAAAAGCTTATGGACCGACGTCGCCTTTTAGCGTAGATCTCCCGGCCTCAGTTGGGATATCCGAAATGGATAATTTCGCTCTGTTTAAGGGATTGGAAAATTTGCGGGAATTAAGATTATTGCATCCATCCAATTTGCCCACATCTTATTGGGTGTTTATTGAATTTTTATCGTAGGGACTCAAGATACAAGTTTTCAGCGGACTCTTGTCTCCCAACTACCTATAAAACAAGAAATGCTATTTGTGGGTAATGAGAGAGGAGTTTAAACCAGGAACAAAGTTTGGGTTCTAAGGTTCAAAATAGTTTACACATTTTTCTTTATTTCACATGAGAGTGCTGTAGTAGATAGCACTCATTCCTAAATATCTTTGCGTCTTCACAAATACAGGTTGTACTTGCAAAAATATGATGTGAATTGGTGTACAGTTCAGTGATTTATCAGTCAGCCCTGCAATTTGAATAGGTCTTATAATTTAAGGGTTTTCTTTTTAGTTTTGTGTCTTGCACTGAGTAAGTGCTTAACAAGTGTTTGTGTTGAACTTTGCTGATACATACCTATAAAGTCCCTGGAGGTAGAAAAACCTGGTTTCCAATTGTTTGGTAGACACTTGTAAACTCTGTGCATGAGAAAGTCATTTAACTCATCTTTACCTGAGACAACTTCCTAAGACTCAAAAGAGGTTGGTGGAAAGTTCTCAGATCCCTGAAGTGATGTGTTTCTGACCTATAGAAAGCCAAATACAGGCTAGTTTTTGTTATTAGTTTGTAGTGTTGTCCATGTTGAACAAATGATTAGATTTAATCATAGTACAGTGCTTAGATTTAAAGTAGAAATGACAAATTGTTACACAGTTTCTATGTAGTCTGGCATGTGAAAAATTCTAACAGATTAATAATAAACCTCAGGAAAAATAACATTTTTATAAGGAATTATGTTGAAAGAATTTAGAGGTTTTGCCCCAAGTTTAGTGGAAAGAACTGAGTTCAAGTTCTGTGTTTTTTGGTATCTTTGTGACCTTGAATAAGCTAAGGAGTTGTCATAAATGATCTCTAAAGTGCCTTCAATCTCTTAATCTAGAGATTCTCAGCTATTTGATTTTGCTCAGCCTAGCAAATGTTGAAAACATTTGATGAAAATGTTACCAAAGTTCTTGAGAAGTTTTAAGGAAATGTGTTTTTAAAACTTCTTGTTTAAATTTTGAAAACATTTTTCGTTTTATTCAAAAAGGGCTGTAGTTCCTGCTACATTTTCATAGTTTCCTTAAGATGGGATCTGAATTGTACATTTTGAGGGGGAAAGATGACTTTTTATGTCTTCTGTCTCATACCCTTATTTAGAAGGGGAAAGAAGTTTGTTTTCAGTATGGATTGACATAGGAATAGCAAATACAGCTTCAATTTCCTCATTTCTTTGCTTAGTTTCCGCTTTTAATCAATTTACCTTTTAGAAATTTCCCATTTTTCAATGCTTTGTTTTACTTCAATTACTTTTGTTAGTTTATCAAGTTAGTTTTGTTATCAAGCATTTCTCAAGTTCTCCTTTATCAATCTCCCCCACCCAAACCCCCCAAACATAGCACTATTATACCTACTGTGAGAAAATTAAAAAGTATTAGAAGACTTTCATCTGTTCTTCCGAACTCAAGATAAGCCAAGATAAGTAACTTTACTTACCAAGATAATCTGTTTAGGGTGTACTGAGAAAAAGCCTAGTGCTAAGTAGGTACATTTTTGCATTATATTGCAAACCCATTGTTGAAGCCTTCATTATCTGTTTTTCTCTCTTTTAAATAGCCTCCAAACCAGTTTCTGGCCTCTAGTCTTTGCCTTTTCCAGTCCATTTTATATACCACTACAGGAACAATTTCTTAATGCACAGCTGTGTTTACATCATTGCACAGCTCAAACTAAATCCTTCAATGTTTCCTCATTGCCTTAAAAATAGAGTTCTTTAGGCTGGTTTTAATAGCTCTCCAGAATTTACTTTTCATTACCATCTCCTCTTATACTATTTAGTGTCTCATACTCAGCTACAAACTGGACTAAATTGTCTTATGTCCTAATTTCATGTCCTATGACACTACCCTTTTCCACCTGTTGAAATCCAGCCCATCCTTTACGGAGTAGCTCAAATGCCACTCCTGAGCCAGAACTCATCAATGGGGAGAAGAAGGGGGCTGGTGAAAGAATATTCCAAGATGAGAAGGCCCCTGGGGTGGTTGACTGTTCCAGGATAAGGAAGCCCCAGTTGTTGAGGGAAATTCCAGAGACAGCAGCTGAGGTTATTAAGTCCAGAATTCTGGAACAGAACCTGAGAGGAAGGAAGGCTGGCCTGGCGTAGAACCTTCCGTGTAATGGCAGCTCCAGATGAAGTGGGAGCAGGCCTGGAGGTGGGATATTTTAGAGGAGAAAGCTTTAGTAATGGTTGGATATTCTAATGTGAAGGCCTCAGGTGCTTTTTTGGTTGATAATAGATGGGGGTATGCAGATAATTCTAATGTGAAATAATACATAGTGCATTGGAGATGTGCCTAGTGGAGTGTTAGAAAAACTTCCAGGAAGGGGAAGGCTGCTGGCACCTGGAGACTTAAGGAGGGTTTTGAGGAGGAGGCAGTGGTATTTAGGGTTAGATTTTTAAAAGAGAGAGGAGAATACTTTGGATGTGGGGAACAGCATACTAATATTAAGGAGGTGGGAAAATGCAGGGCATATTCCTGGAACAGAGTTTGGCCTGTATGTAAACGAATGGCCAGGAAGTGAATAGTGGGTGGGGAAAATGGAAGGATGAAGTAGCTCCATATCTGGAAGACCTTTAATAATAGTAATAGCCCAGTTTTCCATATCAATTTAAGGTTTACAAAGTACTTTTTAAACAACCATGTGATGTTAATAAAGGCAATTTTTCAAAAGGGGAAACTGTTCTGTAGAGTTTAAATGAGCCATCTCTTCCAGCATCATAACCCTTCTCCTCTCCCCCAACCCCAACCCCTCAATTCAGCTTAGAAATAAATTGAACAAGAAATCTAGCTTCAGTGACCTTTTTACCATACTACGGGAACCCTTGGATGGTCAACAGTGAATCACTAAAGATTTTTGAGTAGAGGATTTAGGTGACCAGAGCAATAAGACACGTGTATATAGTACAAATATTAGTATTATTCCCATTCTACAGATGGGTAAACTGAGGTTTTGCCACATTATCAAATGTGGGTCTCCTAATTCCAAGTCCAGTGCTTTATCCGTTATGCTATATTCTGCTTTTCCTTAAAGCCTGGAACTTTTGGATAAGATGTGCGCAAGGAGTAATTTATCTGCCAGTAGTATGGAAGATGGTTTGAGTTTGGAAAGGGTGGAGGTGGGAAGATACATTATAATCCAGGCAAGATGTAATCAGTATCTTTACTTGGTTATTGCAGTGGGAAAGAGAGTAGGAGATAGATTTGAGAGAGGTTGTTGAAGTAAATTTGATAAGACTTGCTAAATAATTGCATCTGAGAAGTTAGGAAAAGAAAAAATTAAGAGCTTGAATGTGGGAAACTGGGTGAGGGTTGTGTGGGATAATGACCTAAAAAAAAAAAACTCTTAGAGGTATCTCAGGGTAGGAACAGAAAGTTTATTTCAATTCTCGAGAATTGGGTGTCCTCTCACCAGGATGCTTCTGCTGAAAGGAGACAAGTACAGAAGCAGAAGAGCCAGGTTAAATAGCCCTAACGGATCCCCCTCCCACCAACTAACCAATATTTTGGCTCGCAATCTAAGTGTGAAAATCTATTCCCAAAGACAGATAACAAAGAAACAATATACGTATCCAGAAAACAAAGAAACAATATAACAAACAATCACCTTAGTTTGCTACCAAAATGAAACATTTAAAATGTGCGTTCAAGCTATATGCTACTATGGACTGTGGGAAGGTCACCAGACCGGAATATACCGGGGTACCTGGGGGTTTCAAAATTTCAAGCTTGGCAATCTTTAACTGCTGACCCTAACACGGGGGGAACTATAGAAATTTATACTTATCCTCTTCTGCCTTATGAATT